TTGCCTCAGCGGAACTTCTTTCATCCACAGAACTCGCATCGCGACAACATTCACACACCAACTGCCGCACAGTCCACCCACTGGCTTATCCCATGCCCCAAACAGCCGCTTAAAACAACAGCTTGCCAATTTCAAACTTCAAGATGGAACATTATGAAGGCAAATTTACCATCCTCTACGTAAGCAACAGGTCCTGGATACTGATTGATATGATCAATATGTGGGATTTAACGTTCCAAACAGCCATATGGTTATGAGACATGCCGTAGTGAAGGACTCTGCAAATAGTGACCATCTGGACTTTTTTAACATTCACCCAAATCTAAGCACACGGGCCTACAGAATTTTTGCCTCCATAGAAAATGCAGCCACTGCTGCCAGAATTCGATCCCGTGATCTGTGGGTCAGCAGCAGAGTACCTTAGCCAGTATACCACCGCGGCAGAACAATAGGTTCTGGTAGTCCCTCGCTCACTTCGTCTACAAGTTTTACATGCGTTTCATGACGATACAAACGCTGGCCATGTTTTAAGCTGGCCAGACGGCTACCATTCAGGACAAGAAGAAAGTCGGTGCAGTCAAATCCCGCTAGAATCAAATTTCCGCCACAACGAGTAATTTTCTATTCCCGGTCAGTCGCCCATTCAAAATAATGTGAAAAATATCTCGTTCCAATGAATGCTTTTCCCAGATATTTCCTCATAAACGAAGTTTTGGAAGTATTACTCCATACCAAAAACAGAACTTGCATAGAATTGCTGCGAAATTCCGCCACCAACTCGGCTTTTTTGGACGGCTCGTGACATGCAGTGTGCACAGCCATATCACAACAACCATGTCTTCATCGGAGAGACGCTTTCTTCCACCACATGCACTACACACAAAATTCATCGCCATAGAGGTGCTCGGCGACAGCTCCCTTATCCACTATGATTCTGCCAGTGGATTTGATGTACCTGCAGGCAGCGGCAGAATCGCGATCTCCAAGAGCCCCCCCCATATGCTTTTGACGTCCCGCTCAAAACAAAACTATCACGCGTTGTGAAGACACACACGCGAGCAGTGCGCACCTAGTCCCAGCGTACCTGCATTCTGCCACAACTGCTGCGAACACAAATGCGGTCACGTCAAACGCGATCATGGGCTACCACAAAAGTATGCCTGCAGTCAACGCACACCAACTCAACCCAATATTTCTTGCCGTAACTATGCGAACAAAGACAGCAACGATGCAGGCGCGTAGCCAGAAGTTTTTTCAAATTTTTTCGGGAGAGGGGGGGGGGCACCGCCTTGATTTCAGGAGGGGCAGCCCCTTAAAATGGCTATTTTTCGCTCTCTATTCCATGGCAAAAAAAATTAGGGAGGGGCGGGGGGCGCATGCTTATGTGCTACCCACTGGCAACACCCCTGCAACGACGCGGTTCTTAAGTCATGTGCACAGATTGGAAACAGAACTACTGCTTGCCAGAAATGCTGTGCAGGCAACCGTGGTCGTTATCGTCTTGTTCATTGATAGCGAATATGACCCAAAGGTGCACAGCTAACACAGCCTTAGATTAATGTTTATAATACCAAAGAACTACACCAAGCATTACAGCTTTCCTGTGGTTCATATATGACCACGATAGTGCGAAGCTTCGACACTTTCACTTGCAGTTATCAGTAGACCTCTAGCGAAGCTTTGGCACGCTCATCCGCGGCGTTGCGCACTCTGCAGGCCCCAGGGGTCGTCAGAATATCGTATTTTCTTACGTATAACCAACGCCTGCATATAAGCGGCACCTCTGACTGCAAACCACTGGAGGATGAAAAAACTACCCGCGTACTGACACAAGGCTGCCTTCTCTGCATTGCCGTGAAGCCAACTTGCACACCAACAATCTCGTACAACCCACACCCCGACTTCCGCTGAAAATTTTCTGCATATATATGCACGAAAATACATTCACTCAGTGTTCAAAGAGGTTCAGCTGAATTGGCAAGAGTTCAATGCATGTGCTTGCTGGGACTAAAGGACAAGTCATAAGCATCAGATTTTACCAAATTTTGTGGTCTATAGATGAAATTCCGCGACAACTAATTTTTCATGCGTCCCGTCAATTTTGTTATAGTGGGATTTGACTGTATTTATGCGAAATGACGAGTTGCTACGTTCCATCCAGGCAACCAAGTGCTTCTGTGGACACCTACCCATTTGTGCACCTTGGCTTAGTGAAACATTCTTTCGCAGATATTTTGGTCCATACGCTATGCTGGAACAAATACTTGAAGTGAACTACTGCGTAGCTCCTGTCAGCTCGACTCTTAATCGTCGTCGCTGCAGCACCGAGATCGCTATGTCTCTCGACCGAAATGATATATTCGGCGTTCCCACCCTTTCTAACTTGCTACCCTCTTTCGTGAAAGGTGGGGGGAGGGAATAACGTGAGCACTGAATATTTGCTTCACCGTCTTCATCTATATATCCAAAACCACTGTAATCGTCAGCATCGTTAGCCAAGCGGGTTGTGCCACTTGGCTCTCGCACGACTGGATTAGAACCTGGCTACTGTCACACCAGCCCTCGTCTTAAAACATACACACACACAACATTAAATATTAAAACATGGAAGCACACCAACCTAAGGAAAACAAGACATAAGTGATGCTTTGAATTGCTACTGGACCTTGCCAAATGAAAAAACATGATGTTAAAATGCTAAAATGTGAATAATAAACCTCATCTCAAATGAACAGCAACTGAAGACTAGAGATCACCTAATAAATGTTACCTTCATGTTAAACCTAGTAAGAGTCCATAAAAATGAATTCTAAAACTTATGCTCCGGTCATCAAGGCGTCACAGCTGACAGGAATATCGATATGATATACCGTATTTACTCGCATAGTAAGCACACTCTTTTCGAGAAAATTCGGCTCCAAGTGGCTGTTACTAGTGAGCCTCAGCGTGTGACTTAGTGGTGTGCCCTTCCAATACATCATTGATATTTTGATTACAAGTAGTCTTTGTTGTGGACTCAAGCTGGCTGGTAGTCTCCAGCCATGCTGCTGGCTCATGCTTTATTATGCCTACCATTGAGATAAGCCTTGTCCAGACATTGAAATGTTAGAGGCCTGGAATACTGAGAATCATTGAAGAAAGGCAATGTCTCTCGAGAGAAAGCTTCAATAAGAGCACTTAAACACAGACATGTCCCCATGTTGGCCGAATGACTCCAGGAACATCACCTTTGGCATGCAATGAAACTTTGATTATACGTCCCCTGGTTTCGCAATGACTCGAATGTTACGGCAAATCGGTTTGGTCCCACCGAAATCCCCATAAAAACAATGTATTAAACACCTTGGTTATAAGACACAGTTTTTCACTGACCCTGCGTCTTAGGACTTTCAGATTCCGTTCGAAAGAAAACACCCCTTTACTCGAATTAAATATCGACTAAATATTCACAAGTACAAAATATGAGCTTGCATCTTCATAGAATGGAAAATTTACTCTCTTAAATGTTCATGCGCTTGGCATCGAGCACATGTGTACGTATCCAAAATGATTACCTAGTCAAGCTCTATCCCCACAGGGTAGCTTCAGCCGGCCAAAGAGCTAATATTTTTCCACTTTCGGTCTGTGGAAACCTTTCCTGGTCGACATACAGCTGATCTGCCTTTGTCACACTACCAGTCACTGGCTTGCGCTCGCATAAGGGCACAACGCAGCTGTTTTCACCGTGCAAAATTACTTTCACTTGTTGCAAGGTTCATAATATTAGCAGGACACGACTAGTGGCACTTCACAAGGTAGCAAATTACAACGCACACAACTCAATTGCGCACGAACGCATTCTACGCAAGCACGTGGTCCGTCGCCATTATGTGATAGCCATGACACTGTGTCCAACTCTTTTGATGGGAGGCTGTTAGTAACGAAGTTTCGGTTTCGTTTCCACGCGCACAGAGTTTTCAGACTCTATCGGTAGAAAGATGCACATTAGATTCATTTGTTTTCAAGGTTGAGAATAAAGATTCGCTCACACCTCCCGCAAATAATCAACGCTGCCATTAGGAGCTCCTGGCAAGAATAATTTAACATACCTTCCTTGGAGAGGCACAACCTTGTGCCGTGGGCTTGTTCAGGCCATCTTTACCCATTTTTCAGGTGAGATTGAGTACCATCGTTTATAATCTTAGTTTTTCGATTATATGACGCCCAGATTATAAAACCGTTTTGCGTGGTCCCCTGAAAGTCCTATAGTCGAGGTTCCACAGTACAACATTTCTATGGCATACATACAAGGAGAAAATTTTCCAAGGGCATCATTAAGGCCCCCTCCTCTGGCAATACCTGTGGTGTAACATGTAAACACATAAACGTCTACAGATTTCACTTGAAAGCAAATGTTTACTGTTACAACACGAGTGCTAATTGGCACTAAAAGCACTGCAATAAAACTTGTTTCGCCAAGCATCGGAAATTGTGGAACCTGGCAAAAAAGAGGACAGTCACAGTAGCTCATCTTCCCACTCACCCATGATCACGACCAAGTCAGGCAGAACAGCGTCGAAGTTCCATGCACAGCAGCGGTTAAACCGCAGCAGAAGCATAATCCCTTCTCCCTAGGGCAATTGTGCAACCCTCAACAGCACATTATCCCACCACCTTTCTTCTGGGCTCACCTGCTGCTTTGCACTAGAAGCACCAACGGCCCTCCTCATTCTGACTGCACTTGGGACTTTACACCACATATCATAGTAGATGTGGCAGAAACTCACGAGGAGTCTCAATGTGCAGCAACAATGTCATCAACCACATGCTTCCGCTGCAAGGTAAAATCTACTTACCCCCCCATATAGCATACCATGTCTACAAAGTATTCCTGTGCTATCACAATCGAGTCATTTGACTTGTCATGGCTATTTTCTTTGATCTTAACGCAGCGGAGATTGAATCTCACCTGTTTCAGGTGTCACTTGTAACTACTGAAATCATTCATCAAGAAGACTCACCGCAAACTGGTCAGAGAGCAGGAACTTCTCATCCAGGTATCCCGAGCCAATCAGGCTGAACAGCAGGCAGCCCATGCCCAGAGCCAGCCGAGACAGGGCAGGTACAATGCTGTACAGGTTTAAATTAAGTTTCCATAAAATCTAAATTTCAATGCGACTCTGCAACTTAGTTAACAAGGCACAATGTAAACTTTGTGTTTATTATTCAGCCAATATTTTGTTTTTCCCACTTAGCATCATTATCCGTCAATACAGTGATGCTACCGAGGTTTTTCATTTTGAATCTTTGGAGAAGCAAAATTTTCCATTTTAGAGGTCTCCGGAGCCGGCAATTTTGCATCTGGGAGCACTCTGGAGCAGCAAGTTGCATTTACATCAATAGACCTGAATAATTATTTCGGGACTCCTTGCGAAGAGCTACAAATATTTCCATTCATTGCAAATATCATGGAGCCAATCTCATCTTAGGTGCACTCTCTATTCCACTCGATGATGCAAAATAATGGCATCAAGCTGTTGATAATTCTGGAACAACTAGTTCAAAAATTATATTTGTAGAAAATAAACAAAATACTGGTTCAATAAAATTGTACCTTATGAAATAACATTCCAAGTACACCTATGCAGTTATCAGCTGACACAGTAGACAAATGCTGCGATGTACAATGCTAGATACTCGCACTGTCTCAAATGCATTCTGCTCAGTAGACTCCAACGATAAAAAGATACTGGTTCAATAAAACTCTTGCTGTTCCATTATATTGCTGGACGTAACATGACTGTACTATAGCCTCATAAAACCAATCTCTTCCGTCACTTCCATCTATCCGAGACTCTTTTGTGCTGGGCGTGATTTAACAAACTTCCTTTTCCTTTTGCAGCGAACTTTTGTACGGCTATAGAAAGTTTTGTCTGTACGCAGAAAAACCCCTTAGTGTCTAAAAGACTGTGCAAAACAGAAAAAAAACCCTCATAGGATATCTTATGCATACACGAGGACTCAAAAATGAAGTCCATCTTGTTTTTATTGTGATAGCAATTTATGGGCAATATCGACTGGTTTTTGCTGTCGCTGTCATGTTTTGTGCAATGTTTGAATCGACAACATCCCTCTCGCATCTTATGTTTTACACATGGGTTATAGCGCAGGAGCGGTTGCGACGAACATGGCTGACACAAAAATACAAAAAAGCGACCTATCTCCGTTGCACGGAGGGCGTATGCGATAGCATCACCCCGTGTGCAAAAAGCCCGCCATTAATTGCTAATAAAGCAGAAAAAAGCACGCTGCCTCTCTTCAAGGAGCATGAAAAAAGGCAAAAAAAGGGTGAAAGGGGTGTTATGACCCTAGAGCAGATCTTCGACAATAAAGGCACGATCGCTGCTGCGCATGGTGTGTTACTTTGGCAGGCATTAGAGACAGCTTGTATACTTTTTTTGTGTTAACTCCTAATGCGAACGGACTGCGCAGAAATAGCTCTGCTTCCTGGAGCTGCCACATAGGGGGTACGCACCAAGCCTTGATCGCGAATCGGCCACACTATTGTAGCACCATTTTGGTGGTCCATTCAAACGCGCCATTCGTGCGATACATACATCGGCATGCAAGAAATGTTTAGAGGGTCTCCTCCAGTCATACAAGACGGAGTACCGATCTCGAACACAGCGTATCCGGCGAGTGCGTGGACCTCGAAATGGCAACCCCCTGCTTGTACTCATTGCAGATGATGTCAAGCTTTACTCCGTATAACAATACAATTTGTTGGTACAGCATTCATTGCTAAAAGCATAAGTGAAACTGACAAATCGTATCTTTGGTACCCAATATCGCCTACCAACTCAACAGAATGCTGGTTAAAGGGACTATGACTACTCGAGGTGGCAAAGCGGGTTTCGTGCTGTCAGTTATCGATACGTGAAGCATACATTATTAGCACAGAATGTCTACAAGAAGTCTTATGATACCTCGAAATAGCACGCACCAGCCACTGTGTGCTTTTCAAGTGACACAGCCTCCTACCCACTAAAATGTAGCAATTAATGCGATTCCGTGATGTTTTTTTTTTTTTAACCGTCAGCTATTGACCCTAAGTAGAGGATGAGTAACATCATGTAACTGCTTCACACTGGACCTTCTGACAACTGGGCAATTGTCGATGGGCCCACTATTGAAAGCTGCGTATAATAAAAGCAAATCATGGCTGCTCCTTCCAGGAGGCGTACTTTTATTGAGGAGATGACATGTTAAATAGAAGCAGGCAAGAAATTTGAATTCAGACCCTAGCACTCACGAGCTTAAAAAGGTAAGGTCTTTTAAGGGCATTTGCAGGGGTGGAAGTGGACCCTAGTGTTTTGGAGAAGCTCGGGGAGCAGGAATAGTGCTGTTTTGAAGCAGCTTTGGCACAGTATATTTGTAGTATTGGAGTTGGTTCGGAGCACCAAAAGGAGAGGTTCGAAGCAATGCAAGTTAACCTTGGAGCAACTTTTTAGGGTCAAACTTCATTGTTAATTGAAATTACTTCTGGTAAAAAATTTTTAATGGTTTTCACTAAACATTTGGTACTTTTGAGCAGACCAGACTTACTAACCCCAAATGTGTGTGTGTGTATCTGTGTGCGTGTAGTGTACACACGTCTGTGCTCCCATCATTAAACATCACAGCTGACAGAGAAAACACTCAAAGAAAACAAGAACTAAGGGTCTTTATGAAAACAAGAGATAAGCGATGCTTATTTTTTGTCTTCACGAAGACTAAATGTTCACAGCACACTTCGTTTGGCGGAAGTTTGTTATCCTGCCACTGATTGAACTCACTTTTCTGCTCATCTGTGCTCGAACTGGAGGGAAGTGGGGACGAGCAAATCACAGGACAAATCTGCTCGCACGCTACAGTGAGCCACCCGGCAGCGACGGCGTAGGCAGTATAGGCGCTGCGCTGCACACAACTAAGGAGACGGTCGAGTTCACGCAACCACTCTGTTTCCGTGAAACTATCAGTCATCGCTTGGTATCCCATTGCGGTAGTGAAGTGCACGTATGTATCGTGTAGAGCCGATCCTTTCTGCCGTTACCTCAGTCGCTGGGTATCCCAGACCCTGTGATAGTTTTGAAATGCTGCTTCGCCACTGCGCGCTATCAAAGGATCGTGATGAGTGCCACCTGAGTATGCTTTCTTCAGTTCGGGCAACGACTGCTGTGTCACTGTATTTGGTTATTGGTGGCAATGGTGCACGCCAGGAGATGCACATTTGTACTTGCAAATGCGGGCTGCTGTTCCCAATCATACCGCATTACCGGCGGGTACAAATTATCGAGGTTTTACTGCAACACTAGATAATTCATAGTTACTCATGTTGGTGCCACCACTTTTGCGCAGAAACCACGTCGATAACAGCGATGAGACAAGCATTAGCAAGCCTCCAAGAATGAAGCGAATTACGTGTGATCGAACTACCTTGAATATGGATGCGAGCATCCTTCGTGTGGCCAACACTCAGTGTTGCTCTGTCGACGATAATATTCGGCTAAATTTGGCAGTTTACGCTTTCAATCAACAATTATCATGGAAATTGCCGTTTATGCGCAGCCTGACGCAGCAGGTCAGATAGGCGCAGAACGGCGCAATTGGCACAGCACTTACACCCCTGGATTGTGACGTCATGGGCTAACAATCCAACAAAAAAAAAAACAACAGCCAACTGTTAAAAGATGCGGGAAATCAACTCTGTTTATTGGAATAGTCACATCTCGCGAGTAGAATTTCAAAGTTTTTATCAGTTTTTCCCATTAGTGTTCAGAATCGCTGAAATGCCCTGGTGTGAAGAAGAAGATGTGCCTGCGGCAAGCAGCATCGCCAACGCCCGGCTCTCTCGGCTCGGGCTTCGGCTCACTGCTGTGCTGATCTCTGCTGGACGGTTCTTCACGCTGTCTTGCCGTTGTCGTTATCGACTAATAAACCTCGTCACATTTGGTGGAGAGTGCTGTTCATCCTTGTCGCTACACCCTGGAACTGCGAAGCCGCACGCTACCACCCGTCATGACTGACAACGCCAACTTATCCGCATCGTCGCCCCAGTTCAACTGCGTCGGCCATCCTAGGCTACGGGACCCGAAGGTCTTCAGCTGTGCGGATGGGACCGACGTGGAAGACTGGCTTGAGCACTACGAGCTGGTGAGCGCCAATAACAAGTGGGATGAAGCCGACAAGCTCGGCCATGTCATATTTTATCTCACCGGCGTCGCAGAATTGTGCTTTACCAACCACAAACACAACATCCCCACATGAAGCGTCTTCAAGACGTCATGTGGTGAAGTGTTTGGTCGGCCGGCTGTCCGCAAGCAGCGGGCAGAACAGCGCTTGCACGTCCGCTCTCAGTAGACTGGCGAAAATTTCACCAGCTATATTGAGGATCTCGTCGACCTTTGTCGACGCGCGAATGACACCATGCCCGAGTCGGACAAGGTTAAACACATCCTGAAGGGCATCGACGATGGCGCATTTCAAACTGGCCTGTTTGCCCTATGTACGTACGGCCACAAGAGAAAGGTACCTGGTACACAATAGCAATCTTACACGCCACGAATTTGGTTGTGTGTTTTATTCCGCAGCTTGTGGTTCTTCCCAGTGCCTCCCTCTTCCTTGAAACAGCAGTTCCTACTCTGGCCATTTCATTGGGAGCTCAAAAAACAACGCACCAATGCCATACCTGCCCCCCCCCCCCCCCTTACCAAAACTTGTGGGCAAAGAGAATGATCGCAACTTCCTCACTACGGTCATTCGTATCATTGCATTGCTTCAGGTCACATTTAGGGGTTTCAATCTTTTGAGGATTCTACTCGCACATCCTACATGGACAGAGTCCTTGAAGCTGGCCTCCTGCAACCATGTACCTGGGCGTTGAGACTAGTGCACATCTAGTAAGCACAAGACTTTTAAAGACGACAGTCTTTCTTGGGGACCTTCGACGCAAAAATTTTGGTCTGTCTGTCTGTACATTTGTCTGTCCACCCCATCTGCAGCACCCACCAATGTAGCTCAAGATTTAGCATTCATACATGTGCAATTCTCAATTAAAAAGCAATTATTACGCATGTCTGGGGCATCATAAC